GTTTGAGGGTTAACACTTGGTTTGGTTGTGATGGTTAAGTGTTGGGGTAAGGGGCTGGGAAATGCATTATGTCAATGACGGGTCCCCAAGATTATATTAAGACAAGGATATGTGTGCTGCTACATATATGTGCTGTCATATCCCATGTGATTTTCCTCTTAACACACACACACACACACACACACACACACACACACACACACACACACACACACACTTATAAGCTTCTTCCTCCTGTGTGTCATATGCATCATTGTGACAGTGTGTGTGTGTTCACTGTGCAGCTCTCAGAAGCAGCACCGGTTACATCACCTCACACACACACACAGCTTACACAGACACGCCTGTTATGTCATACATGCTTTCAATGCCACTGGAATTAAAATCCTTCTCTAATATTGGAGGGATTTGTGTGTGTGTGTGTGTTCGTGTGTGTGTGTGTGTGGGTTAGACGCGAAAAGCAGGGATAATGATAACTCCTGTATTTTATGTTGTTTTTTTAAGTCAAGTAAGTAAGTAAGCCAAAGCAGCTAAACAATCAAAAACATTACTTCTGTATGACGCCTAATGAAATCAGTATAAAGATGCTATTTGCTTCCCAGTTGCTTTGCTGATTTCTGGCAGTTGTTGTTAAGTTGTAGTTTCTATTTTAACAGGACAGACAGTGGGACAGATGGTTTGGTTTGTTGCGTCATTGTTGTTTTTTTTTTGTTTTTTTTTATTTCCCCTGCTCCTAAACAAATTCGCTCATGTCAGCTGTGTTATATTGAACACGGTTGGGTCTGGCAGCAGATTAACAGTACTTCCTGTCCTCCTGCCGCGCCGTTGGTAATTGTTTCACAGGGTGCTGCCAAATAAAGGAACCCCCATCTGTGAACGAGGAATGCAAATGATATCAAAGGCCGGCTGTTTACATTTCATCTTGCATGGCGTTCAGTATGTACAGTCCAAACAACATTTAACTGCTTTACTGAAAATATTATACATGATAAGCCCATGATGGAGGGAGCAAACAGACAGAGTGTTCAGAAAGGATTCAGACCCCTTCACCTTTTTTCACATGTTGCAGCCTTATGCCGAAATCATTAAATTAATTTTTTCCCTCATCAGTCTACACTCAATACCCCATAATGACAAAGTTGGAGACTTGTCCTAAAGTCATTCCATCATTGTCTTGGCTGTATGTTTCAGGTCATTGTTGTGCTAAAAGGTCAGCCATTGCCCCTGTCTCAGGTCATGTGCACTCGGAAGCAGGTTTTCTTCAAGGACCTCTGTGTTTTTGTCTGTATTTATCCTTCCCTCAGTTCTGACTTGTCTCTGTGCACATGGGAGAAGTTTGCCTTGAATGCTTTCCCCCAGAAAAGTCTTACTGTAACCCCAAACAGTTATCTCTGCTGCGCCTAACCATAACCCAACCAAAGCCGTAAACTCAACTGTGGAGGGACGCGCTCAGGGAAGCACTATTCTAACGAGAGGGAACAGACTTTGACACACGACAGACTGTACTGTCTTTCCTCAACCTCTAGGTCCCAACTGCTTTGCCGGGAACAGGGTGATCCCGGCAGGGGAGCGTGTGAACATTGACGAGCAAACGGTTTGCTACTGCACCTACCGGGACGGGACGTGGCACACCCACCCCTATGCCACCTGCGAGCAGCGCCCCCAGCCCAGCGAGCCACCTGGTGATCGCACCGACTCCCCCAGGGACGAGGAAAACAAGGGGAGAGGGGGTAGACCGTTTAATCCCAGACTGGATGTGATACCATGAAGTGGCGTGTTAATTAAATGTGTCAGAGAGCTCTGCAGGTACAAGTAAACTCTGTTAGTATCAGGAGAGGTTAACTGGGCTTCAATATTTCAATATAGCATTACTCAACTTGCACATTTATGTTGAAAACACAACCAGTGAGATTATGTTACCATGGTAACAATCAATGACACCTGCGCTGTGCAGTAGCACCCAATAAGAAAACACAGGAAAAACATGGTGAGAGCAATGACAGGGGAAAGACTTTTTGGAGACTGCAGCCATTCTTTTTTTTTTTTTTTACAAATCAGATTTTTCTTGTCATTGTTAAACTCTTCGTACTCTCTGGTAACTGTTGAATTCTTCCAAAAGACAAACATTTTCTGCTGTGGTAAACAGAGCTCAGTGGTTGGATGCAGTTTCTCGGTCAGCCATTTTTTTATATCGAAAAAAGTCCTACAGAATTCATTGTACCACAGCCCGGCTTAAGATAGTCAAAGAACTAAACTACTTGCAACGGATGAATTTAGACTCAGTCTATCTGAAGGCTGATTATTTGTTATATCTGAGCCACAGTCAAAGTCTGTCTTAGTGAAGCCGGCTCCAGTATAAAGACGAACAGACACTGACAGCAGAGATCACAACTAGAAATTTTTAAAAATGACTAGAAGAAAGTATTTGAGTTTTTTGGATATGGATGAATCCAAGTTATCGTCTGCCCTCCTGCACTTGTAGTTTTTTCATGGGAGCTGTATTTTTTTCTGGGATCGCAAAGAAATTATTGTTTAACTTCATTAAAATCACAAACGTTTCAGTTTCTTATAGCACCTGCTGTAGTTGATTACAGGTAGTGGATCAGAGGCTAGCCTGGATTCAACTTCATGACTTCAGCACTATGGCGTGTTGAGACCATGTCAACTACAAATGAAATACATCATTAAGTTCAATCACAGGTATTTACATACATTAATGAAAGTGAATTTCATGCATCAGTGATGTGAGCTGCCCCAGCAAAGACAAACTGGGCATGTAAAGACCAAATGGCTGGTCTCCAGAGACCACAGAGGAGCCAGAGCGCAGTGCAGCCATATCTGGTGGACCGTGGCCTTCAGAGATGCTTCAGTAAAACTGTAAGATACTCTGCAGGGTGGTGGGTGTTGAGGGAAGGAGAGGCATGAAACCACAGCACCCTACAAACCCACGTAGATTGACCGCACATTTTACTCTTGGACACCTGGTCGTTTTTATTTATCTTTTTATTTATTTCAATAAATGTCAAACTACAGTCATGGTCTATTTGAGGTCTATGTTTGAGTATTTATTTCATATCTTTTAAATTTTGGTTTATGTCAGTTCAGAGAGACAAGAATTAGCATGAGAATATATAACTCACATTGAAAATTAGAAGTTTGATATGGTACAAAAAGGACCATTGCTGACAGTAATTGTTTAAATAATCAATAGACTGACAGAAAATGAACTGACAATTGATTACTAATTGTTTATGTCAAAAACAAAATCTCCTATTCTGCCTTGTGTGTCATATTTTAAATATTTGGACTGTTGGCCCGTCTCACCATGGACTGAGATTTTATAGACTTATGTGTTCATCAGTTAATTAAAAACGGGTTAGTTACATGAGATACGATAAGCTACACGAACAGGAATAAACTGATGGGTCTTTTTTCAGCACCTGATGCTGGTGTTCAATCATTTGCTGTCTCAGTTTATACCCTCCTTGACATCACATATAGATGGAGATTATGGGATGCTCTTTTTTTGTGTTACAGTCCCACTTTCCGACTGTCAATCTGATGAATGTATGGAAGATGGGACGGAGTGACAGAAGGGAAAACAAGTGTTGGGTGCAGGTGGTGTCCTGGCTTCTCTCTGCGGCCCTGCTGCTTTCCATCTGTCAGCAGAGAGGCCAGAGATGTCCAAGTAGACCAGACACACACTCACAGGGCTGAGGATGAGTCACAATTTACCTGGAGTAATAGATGCTACATACACATGTAATGTCAGAGTGCATGCCCGTTTGTGTTGATCACCCTTACTATGTATTGTAAATGTATTGTTATATTCCTGTTGCAAAAATTAATTATTTTTCTTACCCATGCTCCTGCAGTGTTCCCAGATGAAAATCACCTGTGTATTTTCTGTCCTGTTGTTAAGAGTTAATGAGTTTATGTCCTCATCTTCTTCACAGGTTCAAACAGGCCGGTATTCAATGGTACTCAGGTGTATGACAGTTTCCCAGTGGTATGTTTTACTGTAGTCTGAACACTTTCCTAAACACCCTCTCTCTCTCCAACGTCTTTTCTCGTCAGTGAGTAGTTCATAGCTGTGTAAGAACTGTACATAGGCACTTACAGGTTCCTTAACGCCCTCTTGTGGTAGGTCTGAGGACATGCATTAACAAGGTGCAACTGGAGGAAGAAGTAATTTTATACCTGGGTAAAACTAAAGCCCATTTTTATTTTACCTCATCTTTGTTACTTGTTTATTTTTCTATTGTGTATGTTGAGCATTTTTTCTTTGATATTTGTTTTATCTTCCATTATGAATATTGAGATCTATTTTGTTATTTTTGTTACCCTGCTGCTTTAACATAATTTCCCAATTTGGGATCAATAAAAGTACATTGATCCATCTATATTTCAAAATCCTTTGTACAACATAGCATGTAAATTGTAACAAGAGCCACAGCACATTTACCAAAACATGTCAATATAACTATAGTTCTGCTTAATCTACATTTTTTCCCCCAATAAACCTCAAATCAGACGTCCACAACTGTGAAACTTGTGTATAAAGCAACTTTAATGACTACTGAAACATCAACACCTGTATTAAGTGCAAATATTAAAGAGGCACTTTTACTGTGCAAAACCCAACAAGATGATGCTTGCAAAAGTAATTTGTCCAAATATCCATGTACAACAGTAAATATGTCGAAATATGTTTCCTTTACATAAATGAAAAACCTAAGACGTGTGGCTTCTTTAACAAGAGTCTTTATTGAAAACGAACAGAGGTGCAGGGTCCAGATCAGGCAATGCTGCCAGCGTTTGAGGCAATCCTGGGCCACAGGTCAGCGCACTCTTTGGCCACTGGGCCTGTGATGGCTGAACCTGCAGAGACAGAAGGAAGGCAGAGTTAACTCAGTCGGGCCTGACTCTACAAACAAAGCACTAGCTAATTAAAAGCAAAGTGTTTCCCCAACAACAGCATTCCCATAAATATATTGACCAACTCTCACTCCCTGTGTCAAATACACTGACAATGGACCCGTCTGTCACAGAAATCCCACTAGGCTTCTGAACTAGATGTTAAAGTTGTCTCATCACTGATTGAGATAAGTCAGCTACAGTGTATCGCTGCCATCTCACCCACAGTGATGAGCTCAATCTTCCCTTCTTCGACAACTCACCCAGCCACTGAGCAGACAACGCAAGTGCTTTTAGAAGGGGGAACATGTTCCTAAAAAACTATTACCTCTGTCATGAACTATGAGAGGAAAGTGAAATAAGTCTGTAACTGCAGTGATAAAAATGTCTGGTGGGTGAAATGAAAACAGGCAAATTTTAATTATCACCTCGTGGTTGTCTGCCTCCGCAATTCAGACTAGTTTCATATTAATTAATTAATCTAATCATTTCATCTTTGAGTTTTAGTGAATGTTTGTGCCAAATTCCATCAAGGTGTTACTGAGATATCGTGTCCACAATAATGTGACGTATAGATGTACAACCCAAAAATAATATGCCACCGACTGACTGTCGCCAGCACGGAGGCTTAACAAAACGTAGCCTACTCAACACACACCTACAAACCAGAACAGCACTGGTGAGAGTGAGAGAGTTCAGCAACAACTTTGTTATTGAGGCAATGAGAATCAGTGAAACTAAACCACTTCACACCCCGAGGGACTGAAGGAGCCATGCTGTTCAGCCAGTTCATGTACATACAGCTAATAATTCCTGAAAGTGACTGAATTACTGAGACCAACATCTAAAATGCCTCTAGAGAAATATCTACCTCACTGCTATCAATTCTGTGCTTGAGGTCAGCACCAATACATGAGCTAAGGTAGTGCTATTTGTACAGTGACTATGACTGAAAGAAGCTAGCGGAGCATCCAAACAAACCAACCTTTCATTTCTCCTTTGTTGTTTACTATGACACCCGCATTGTCTTCAAAGTAAAGAAACACGCCATCTTTTCGCCGATACGACTTCCGCTGCCGTATCACCACCGCAGGATGCACTGTGGAGAGAGGGGCGGGGTTAATCCAAGTTCATTCAAGCCTCTGAGTTATTCAGTGTTCTGCCCATAAATCTGTAAATGAGATGGACTGTCGTTCCCATCTCCTTCAAACTCAGCTCATATGGAGTTAACAGATGAAGACATCCTATGTTTTCATTTTTATGTTTTTCAAACAGTTTCAATGCAAATACACACCGGAGCACAAACAAACACCACAATGGTTCATTTGACAATTCATACACTAGCCTCAACCTCTTTACCGCAACACTACAGTAACTTGCAGACAGACTCACCCTTCTTCCTGAGCTCTGGCTTGCCTTTCTTGACTGTGGCCATGACCATGTCACCCACTCCAGCTGCAGGCAGACGGTTCAGACGTCCCTTGATGCCCTTGACAGAGATGATGTACAGGTTCTTGGCTCCTGAGGAGGGAGAAAACCAACATGGAAGAAAAGGACAGCATGTGAGAATGGCAGGTAAACAGAAAACTGGGACTAGTGTTTCTGAACATCGTTCTCTTCATAGGCTACAGCACTTTTTCAGCTTGTCTCATCACTGATTGAGATAAGTCAACTACAGTGTATCGCTGCCATCTCACCCACAGTGATGAGCTCAATCTTCCCTTCTTCGACAACTCACCCAGCCACTGAGCAGACAACGCAAGTGCTTTTAGAAGGGGTAGAACCGAGAACAGGTTCAATAAGATACAAACCATACAGCGCAGCAGCATTAATCAAAACCATCAATATAATTATAAAAAATTTAATCCTTTTGAAATAACAGTATCAACAACTGCCTGCTAATTTAACAGCTTAGAGCTGTTCTAACCACATCACAATATAATTACACAATTTGAACTGTAACTTTACCTGTTGAGATAACGGGGTCAAATATTTTATGTGGGTCAACAGTGATGACCGCACACACAAACACCTGTATTAGTTTTCAGCTTATGAGCATCACAACAGGTGAAATGAAAGTGTGCTTCTATATGTTGTTAACTGTGTGTTCAGGATTTAAAGTTCTGTAGTTTTCAAACATTTACAATATTAATCTCAACATTTCCAAATGACCAGACCTCTTCAGGAACCATGTAAGAAGAATAGTTACAACATTTCAGACAATACACTTGTGTTTTCTCGCTGAGACTAAGACACCACACTCACACAGTAAACAGGAAACTACATCCAGGAGCAAGTTTAACTGAAAAGTCAGCAGCAGCTTGGCGTACAGACAGGTAACAATGCTCCGTCCAAAAGGTACATCTACCAGGACATCTGAAGCTCACCGGTTACAATGTTTCATCTCTTTACTTTGATGCATACTCAAAAAGGAGGTGTTACCATTTCACTGTTTTACAAGGACTTATGTGCAAGACTATTTCTTGGTCTCATGTCTCCGCTGACTAACTGGCAATCAGTAACTCAAACTACATATTTAACATACAGACATGAACTTGGTATTGATCTTCTCAAAGTCACAGCAAGGAACCAAATTAGCTTCATTTCCCGAGATAACTACTAGTCATTGCTTAAACACACCTCCTCTGCCTGCTGTAACTACATACTACTTTCCCTGCCCATTTCTGTCTGTACGAATTCATGTACAATGTATTTAAAAATTCAAAAATCTAGTACACAGACTTCCTCAATAGACATTAAAACAGGTTGGATGAGGCATACCTGTGTTGTCGGCGCAGTTGATGACTGCTCCCACTGGGAGACCCAGTGAGATGCGGAACTTGGCTCCAGACGAACCACCACGTCCTGTGGGAAGAAGAAAATACAATATCAGTTCTGCCAACAGTACTTCCAGGGCAATAGGTCAGGCCATGAACCTGTGATTTGCCTCAAGGAAATGAAGATAATCATGTTAAATTGTGCATTATCTCAACACAGGATGGAATAAAAATAATTCATATCAGCAAATCTGCAGAAACGTGGTTTTAATTGTTCTGCAACTACATAGGTAACCGATTCCAGTGCAATCTCACACCTATTTCTAAAAGACAGACTTCAATAATTCAGAGGAGTGACAGAGTAATCGACTCACTACAGTATCTTAGTCAGCTGGCTGAGAAAACAACCTGCCAAAAATTACAATCCATTAACTATAGGGCTTGTTTTACCAATGTTGTTTTCAATGCCCCACAGTTTGATCAGTGTGAAGAATTACGCAAGGATTGATCCACCTGTGTCTGTTACTACACTTCACACTACTGGAAAAACTCAACACGAGTCAAAACCCTTTTAAAATTCTTACAGCGATTAACCCTTATACTAGTTGATTCACAATACACAACACGTTGCCATTTCATCCACTTCCAGGTCCAGAAATATTCATTTGCTTACACTTATAGGGCAACATCATTTACAATGTATACACAGTTTCATAAGAAACGTTAAACTGAATGGCATTATTTGTTCAAATCTCTTTGGCTAACGCAGTTAAGTCAAAAAAAATTCTCGCTGTGACCACAATTTCAAGTTAGTAATCTCCATTTATCACCTTCAACAGTATGGTACCGGCTCAGCTTAGCTAGTCCAGATAGCACAGGCACCACAGATCCATTTCACCTCAGAAAACCAGAACAGCATCTATCGTTTGATTAGTTAAAATGTGCAACATTATGCTGCACGAGTAAGAGCCCGACCAGGGACTGGGAGTGCTAATTAGCTTCAGTTAGCTGCCCGGCACACATCACATCTCCTGCACTACATATTTGCACGTAACAATGTGTGTTTTCCTATTTGGATGTTCCTTGTTTATAAATCAAACAAACACACGAATAATTAACCTGATTGAATTTAACAGCGGGCAGCAAATTCTCGGCCTCTAGCTTTAACTTCATGCCTACATGGCGCTGACAGCGAAACATGGCTTCCACCAACTAGCTAACGAAAATGCCATCGTAAAAAAATACTTCAAATGTTTTCATAAATTGAAACCTAATCAAACAAATATAATGTCTTCCCCACTCTATCTCATATAAGCAACATTATAAGATCTGGTGTGGCGTAAAAACAGCAGATGAATGTGGATTTTACAAGCCGGGTCTCATACCTCTCTTAGACATTGCTGCAGGAGGGAAAGAGGAAGGTGGAGAAAGGAATTGTGGGATATAAAGTTGAGCGGAACTCCATCCGGGTCATGGCGCGGAGACGAGCTGCGTTCAGTGACTGTCGGAAACACTAACATTTAATGTATTTTTGCATTGACTTTAGGCAGAATTCTTATGTAAAGATTTTACGTTACCACTCCTAGTCTCTGATTTCCCCCATTCCTTATTTCAGTTACTCTTAAAAATCCGATCAATACACTGTGATATTTGAATGTAGACATCATTCAGTGTTGCATTAAACTCACAGTATGTAACTTCTGCCGTTAGGGGTCTCTCAATGGAAACACTGAAACAACAGAACATTTGTATTATGAATGTAAATTTTCTAGTGCTTTTTGGGAAGACTTGCATTAAAAGGTTATTTCCTAAATTTGACCATTTCTCTAAATTAACAAAACAAAATGTGATCTTTGTCATATTAAAAAAAAAAAAAAAAAAAAAAAAAAAAACATACAAGAATACATGACTTGGCAATAAACACAGTGATCATATTTGGGAAATTTCTTCTACACAATAGTAGATTCTTGAATACACAACAGAATTTCAACAGTTTTCACAAGTAGTTATGTCATTACTTTACTGAAATTGGTGGAGAGGAAGAGTGGGTTGAGGCAGCTTGGTAGAGGAATTTCAATTTTTATAACTATTTATTTAATTTATTATTATTTAACTTACAGTTTGAAAGGGAGAGAGACAGAGCTGATTTTACCAGGTGATCATGTTTTAGAATTATGAGTGACTATTATGAACAGCATGTTGTGGGCTGAGACAGAACTGTTGATAAAAGAAACAGCAGAGAGATAATTTAAGTTAATCTAAGGAACAGCAACTGTCATTCCCTCCACACTGTCGCCCCCCCCCCAAAAAAAAAATTCCTTATTTTACTTGAGGGTCACTTTACTTACTTGACATTGCTTCATGGTTTCTTTCTTTGGGTATAATAATTGGAATTCATTAGTTCAGATGTCTGTTAAGATAGAAGATTGGTGGATTTGAATACTTATCTTTCAATTTACTCAACAAATAGGCATGGCTCTTTTAAAGGCAACACCATACAACACAAATCAATTTTGGTCTGACTCAGATCACATAACTCTGCATAGTCAAAATGAATTTGAAGACGATACCAGTACAAGATGACCATAAAAAACATGCTTACAAAAGGTGGGAATCCACTCAGGGTCTGTTAAAGGAAAAATATTACTCTTCAGGCAAGCAGCACATCATATAATGTACATGATTAGCCATATTAACTAACCTTAAGAAGTGGGGAGATACATTGCCACGCTAGCATTTGCTGATGGTGCAGTGGTGTGGCACAGGGGTCTATCCTTGGTCCATTATTTTTTACATTACACATAAATCTCCTGTGGCTTTGTTCCTCTGCAGCTCTTTGGTCTGTTCTCCTCTCTGTGGAGAAAAAAAAAAGAAAAAAGAAAAACAATATGGACTCTAGAATCAGCTAAAGTGAAGATTTATTAAAACTTTTGGAACAAACACTTTATTTTCCAACACAACGCCAGAGTTACGCAGCGCTGCAAACATCTTTGGCCGAGCTCAACACCGCAGTTACACAATGTCAGTCCTCATTTCAAGAGAATTTTTAACATCGTGGCATTAAAACAATCTGATGTCATGAGATCAAACTTATATAAATGAGAATATAACAAAAAGTCTGTCAGTCATAGGCACATTGTGAGTAGACTGCATTCAGAATACATACTGTACATACATCAGAGTGATTGCTAGCGCCTGTGTGTGTGTGAATTCTCCCAAGCTGCAAATAGGGGAACTTTGTTGCACATAAGCATACAGTACATGAGTCAGTAAACATAATGCAAACACTGACATGTATAAGTAAACAATGAAAGTGTTTGAACACTAATGATGCCATTAATATGATACAGTATGTTAAAAGTGAAAGTACAATATTTACAAGATGAAAATGTTCCAAAAATATAAAGTATATGCAGTGCAAAATCAGTGAAATTATGAAAATAGAAATATAGGCAGTATATAACAAATTACAAAAGATGGCGCCGCAACTCTTTGACATTACTAATAAAAAATAATTTATACAGATAAAGTGATTCCGAGCTGTAAACTGTCTCCACTTTCTACCAGAATCTACTTTGTGTCTTAAGTGTGAAATTTTACCAACCAGATAACTGGCCAACGAAACTTTGAAGAAACTGCAAAACACTGGTTATCATCTGTATTTCTCTTATCAAATAATCCTATGAAAACCGAAATTGAATGTCTACTACTAACAAGTATCATGTTTTTATCTAAAGCCTGATTTATCTTCTTCCTCTGAGTCATAGAGCTTTACTGTTTCCAAAAAGTATTATAAACACATCAGTGAACCACACTGTTGTTCCCTCATCGACATGAACACACACACACTGTAGTTTATTTTGACTCAGTCTCACGCACACCATCCTGCTGCCTCACTAACACTCACTACGGCACCAAATGTAGATTAATACGCTGCTTAAGATAGTCCCAAAACAATGTTTTATACACATGTATGTCCTCCTTTTTGATAAAAGCTACAGTGAGCAGCTGTTTGAGAAAAAACTGAACCTTCTTCATTTAAAATGAAGCTATATATAAAAAGGTATTTTTAAAGAATTACTTTGCTAAGAGTCAAAGTATTGAATACGGACTAACATCCTTCCATCGTTGCTTTGGATCTAAACATGGGGTTTGTTAGCAATGACTAAAATACAGAATATTATTTCTGACCTTATTCTTTAATCCAGAACTGTCGGTAATGACTTGTAGGTTGTTGAGGCGAACCAGAACCAGTTTCCCAAAGAATCTTAACTCTAAGACGATCTTATCCCACAGACTTAAAATGAGGTTATGGCCATTTTAGCCTTAAGATACTTTTGGGAAACGGTGCTCAGCTCATTTGGCACATTTTCAGTCAGTTTCAAGAGGTGGCCAATCCTGTAAGATCTGTTTAGTGTTGTTCAGATCATTGTTCTAGTTTTATGAACCACGACTTTACTGTTGTGGTTCAGTCTCCCAGCAGCAGCAGACAGCTGTTTCCATCAAACAGGCTCTGATACAGCTACTATCCACTACCTGCAGACAGACACAGTCAGAGAGCAGCTGGTGAACATAGTGGAGCATTTGACAGCTAAAGAGCCAGATATTTCTCTCAGGAAGTGGTGAACTTACCAGACACTGAATGGATTGGCTCCTTCCTACATCTCCAGTTTTATGACTCCCTATACTCCATCACATCCTTCCTTAACTAAAAAATCTTTTTGGGGGTAGAGCTTCTGTTGCTCACTGAGCTCCCCTTGTTTGCAACACACCATTTTTCAAGCAGATACTTAAACCTGTCGTAACAAGAAAAAGCAGGTGTGTTACTAATAATGATAACGATGTCAGCTGAATGGCATGCAGCTGTGTTTTTAATGTTTTCAGTTACACCTGCGCTTCTCCTGCTATGACGAGTCAAAATGTGTGAATGCTGTGATAAAGGTCAACAAACAGTTTTTCAAATCCAGACTTAAATCTGTTTTCCCCGTGCATAACATATTTAACGTCCTAACCTCAATCCTGTTGTTATAGTAACATTTTCACCTGTATGTTTGGGATTCTGCCTGTGTGTGTGTGTGTGTATGTAGGTATGAGGTCTCATAGTTGTGTGTCTGATGTTATATTTTAACCTGTGAAGTGTGTTAACTTATGTGATGTGAAATTTAAATCTACTGAAGATGGCCAGTGAGAAAAGGACAGTGAACACTGGACTAAGATTCATCAGGGGTACACAAACACAACTCCAATGGGATAACATTGCTCTATCTCTGTGTTACTGAGAAACTAATTGCTGACTCATTGTCTTATTAGCTTCATAAGGCTATATGCTGAGTTTAAAGCTTGTTTTGCTGCCCCCAAGTGGCTAAAATATCTTTTTTTTTTTACACCTTTAAACCTGTATTATTTTTATGGTCCAACCTCCTGTCACCATGAGTAACACCTCTCATATTACACATGGCAGTAATATGAGCATATGGCAGTGTAAAAATGAATCTTACATGGTCATAGACTATCCAGGGCCAATGATGCCAATGAAAAGTCATGATAAAATTGTAGTTCTAAGGTGACAAAGGCGAATTTGGCACATTTACCCTATAAAAAGCCTTTATTTACACCCCTCCATATTTACAGAACAGTCACTTCTCTGTTGTGTGGCTTTTCATGTGAAGCCTCACATAAGTCTTTCGGTGGAAGCCTTTCCCGCAGACCTCACAGCGGTGTGGTTTCTCCCCGGTGTGCGTGCTGCTGTGCTGCTTCAGAGTGGAGTGGTCGCTGAAACACCGACCGCAGACGTTGCACAGGTACGGCTTCTCGCCCGTGTGCGTCCTGATGTGTCGCATCATGTTGTGTCGGCAGTTGAAGGATTTCCCACACTCACTGCAGAGAAACGGCTTCTCCCCCGTGTGGATCCTCATGTGCATCTCCAGGTTCCCCTGACTGTCGAAACACTTGCCGCACACTTCACAAACCTTCCCGTTTTTGTGAGTTTTCAGGTGAAGTTTTAAGTTTTCCTCTGAATCGAAATGTGTCCCACAAACGCCGCAGAGGTCTGTGGCGTGACTTTTGGCGTGATTAACCAGGGAAACCATGGAGTGGAACATTTTCCCGCACACTTCACATATAGTCCGGCTCTGCTGCTTTTTTAGTGACGAAGTTTTGATCTTCCTCTCGCTGTCGTTGCCGCTTTCATTCTCGTTTGCGGACGTACTATTTGGGTCGAGGTTCTTCTTGTGCAAATGAACCTGCAGGTGGCGTTTCAACGTAGAGTAGTCATTGAAGCATTTGCCACAGACGGAGCAGGGATACGGCTTTTCCCCCGTGTGTATCCTGATGTGTCGCATCATGTTGTGGCGACAGTTGAAGGATTTTCCGCACTCGCTGCAGTTGAACGGTTTCTCTCCCGTGTGGATCCTCATGTGCGTCTCCAAAGAGCTGGAAGCCCCGAAACATTTCCCACAAATGCTGCAGATTTCAGCCTTCACGTGTGTTTTCACATGAACTTTAAAGCTCTCCTCGGTCTCGAAATGTTCCCCGCAGACACCGCACACGTCCTTGGGGTGAACTTCCATGTGATTCACCAAAGAGACGTTGGCGTGGAAGGCTTTCCCGCAGACTTTACAGCAGATTCGTGATTTGTTTTTTTTTGTCGGATGCAGTTTTGGGGCCATCGGTAGACGGGCATCCTTCTTCTTCCATTTGTCCTTGATGTCGCTGTCGTCGCTCTGAGACCCAATGCTGCCCCTCCACTCCTCGTCACTCTCGTCGTGGTCGGTTGCGGAACAGCTGGAGGAAGCCCCGTCGTCGCCCTCCACCTTCGTCTGTTCCTGCTCAGCTGAGGTGCTCGGCAGAGGATCCCCTCCTCCTCCTTTAGTACTCTGATAGCTGGGATGAAGCTGGTCGAGCTCACTCTTCACATACGGAGGCGTGAAGATGATCCTGATGGCGTTGTCTTCCTCCAGCTCCTGAAGCTGCTCCTGCTCATGGCTACTGGGATGCTCCTCCTGGTTTTTCTCTGTCTGTGGAGGCTCCTGGTCATCCTGGTCCAGACCGGAGCTCCAGTCCGGCTCACACTGCACCTCCTGCTGCTGCTGATCGGAGGGGAAATCCTCGTCCCAGACAGACAGAGCCAGCTGTGGTTGGTCTGCAGGGGGAAAAAAAAGGAAAAATTACTTTCATTATTACTTCATCATTATTCATATGTGAAAAATATTCAGTAGAAATAAAGTGTTAAGAATAAATAGAAAGTCAATCAGAACAGTGTGTGTGTGTGTGTGTGTGTGTGTGAAAGAGCTATAATTTATAATCTGATTACAGCCAGCAGGAATTGTTGATCTCTTACACAGCTACAATTATTTTATTCATATTTCTTTTTTCTATTTCTCATTTTTCACACGAGTCTATTAGGACGACCTTACGAACATGTCACACCGCATTTCAATGCACATAGCACATGCAAAATAAACCATTCAATCTTGCTGAAATTGCTTGTTTTGTCAAGCTAATAGTCCAAAAATCTAAACAAGGAAATATGTTTCATTCTGGCTATGAAAACAGTTCGAATTGTTTCATTTCTACTTCCAACACGAGTCGGAAATAATAGTGACCCTGATATAACACTGTGCAGTGATTTTCACAATCCAGACACATTCAGGTTTATGCCATGATGCTTCTTACTAGAATATAAAAATGGCTTTGGCCTTTTAATATCTGGTTTGAGACTGAAGTTTTAAAACTTTCAGATCTTTTGAAACTTGACTGACAGATGTGCTGTGCTATTACTGATTAGATGGTCCCTGCAACCTGATTAACATGATCAAAATATCTAATTAACCTTGAACTGGAAATTATTTATGCCACGTTTTGATCACAACCCAAGCAAATAAATAAATACAAGCAAGACTAAACTCAAATCACTTGACCACATATATTTTGATTACTGACTGATACTGTATAGAGTGGTTTGATAGAGTAAAACTGATTTACTATGTTCTGCAAAGAAAAGATAAAGGAATGTTTTTCATCTTTTGCACTTTCATATACACAGTCTTTGGCTTTCACCTGTTCCTTTACAACATTAAACCTGAAGAATGTCACTAAGACAATGTAATGTTTTTTTTTAACCTACAGGATAACATTGTCGGTCTAAGTTGTGAAAATTTACTTTTGCCAAATGATTTGGATTAAGTCTTTGATTCGGCACTGGACACAAATGTCAACCGAAATTTGTTTCTATATATTTGTTGTTGATAAACGCTGACTATTGCCTACAATCGTCTGTCATTAAAATAAGTTACCGCTGTGTGACCGCTGACGGTGACCAGGTAAAAAAATTTAACTTTTTTATATATGTATAGCAGCTTGGTAAATCTTTTTTTTTTTTGCCGAATACAAAAGTATAGATTTGCAATCAACAATAAAACTTAAATCAGGGCATATCACGTTCATAGATTTGCCGATAAACAAGCAAACATTGCATTTCTAGATATTTCAATGGAGTTTGGCGTCTTGGGGTCTTTCCCATTAGGCAGGTATCATCTTACCCCGGAAGGGCCTGGTTAATATGAGGCATGGTAATGAACCTGCTTTAGCTTTCATCAAATTTAGCCATTTATGATAATCTCGTGTTGAGGGGAAACTGAGGGCATAGCCAAGAAAAGTAAAGTCACTAAACATTTCTGACACCGCTTAATTTTCAGCAGGAAAGTGGGCGTTAACGGGACTCGTGATGATAGCGGCTCAGGACATAGTCAGAGCCTGGCATATTACCAGACATGGTGAAAGACCGAAGACATGCCAACGATTCACAAACCTGAGTGTTTGTTTATCTTTATTTCTGGTTTTGAAACTGTCTGCAGCATCCTGCGCTGCCGGCGGATCTCCCGTTTGGAGAGCAGGATCTCCTCCTCATAGCCCGCGATGGTTTTTTTAACCGCCTCGAAGATCTCCTCGGCGGCCGCGGACAGCCGCTCGTTAACGAGGACTCTGAGCACCTGGATGCTGGACATGATGCGGGCGGACACTCGGCTGCGTCAACAGATACGGATCTCTCATCACTTTTAAACGCTGTTATTGTTGTGGAAACGGCGACTCCACATGCAACGTTTCTCAAGTGTCGAGTTAACGCCTGTGTCCACCTGGCATGAAACATTTCCTGTCAAAATACTATTCTTTTCAAAATAAAAGCGACATTTCTAGAATCGTAGGAGATTAAAAAAACCCTGACTTTCCATCTTCTGCATAAATGATTAATTATTAAAATAAAAATATCAAAAACTACAACTCTGGCTCAATGGATACTGCAGTGTTTCACTTCAAAAAAAATTAGGAACTCCTTTATGGAGATTTTAGACGGGGAGAAATGTATTACAGCCTTTTTGCCTTGAATTATACTTGTCACGTGCGTGCGTACCGGTCACTCTTACTTCATTTATGTAATTTTGTGTTCATTTTTATGTTAAATAATGTATGAGTTTCCATTAGGTAGTTACTATGAACAGATTTACTATCAGGGAGTAAATGTGTAATCTGTTAATATAAAACACCTTCCACATATACAAAAAATAAATTTGTAAACTCACAAAAATATCTTGCAAATATAAAACTGATCTGCAAATAAACTGACAAATTCCACAAATAAAAAATATATCTGTGAATACATTCAATTACTTTACTTATAAATGAGAAGCATTTGTGGACAGACATTTGTGAAGCAAAGAAGAATTTTCTATTTATGATGCAAGAAAGCATTTGCATTGTACAGAGTTTTGAGACAAACTTTCTGATAGTCTGAATTAAAATCAAATTGTATCACTAGGCCACTTTAAACACTGGAATTGACTTTAAAGTCTAGTGTAATCCTAGAACACATACGTGTGTGAAAAATTACATTGCTATCGTGGAATTGCATTTTCATTTTCAAGTTTACACGATCATCTTAATTAAAGTCCCCAACAGGCTTCTATAATGACTTAAATATTTATCATTTTAGCCTGTTATTTTTATGCACCAGATGCTTTGAGGATGGAACACTTTATCATAATCATGGATTGTGCATTTAAAGGAGAATCTAACCTTTTTAAGAATTCACTTTTCTTATTCTTGTGCCCCAGAACAGATTGGTGAATATGTGTGAACATGCAGCACTCTCCTCTAAAATTAGAAACCAAAGGAAGAACCTTAAAATGTGTAATGTCATCCCAGTTTGCTCTATAATAAATTAATGGGTCTCTGACACTGTAAGGCCATGAAATGTTTGTCTAATTTCTGACACCAAAATTAATGTTTTATATCTTAAACCTTATGTCCAATTTCAAATCTGGATGAGACCTGTTAGGAGGTACACTACACAGCTACTGTAGATCATGGGGTTAGTGAGGAAACATTTCTCACAGTGGCTCAAAGTAATTTCAGCTTTATATTTCAGTAGCCTGACTGATGAAAACAAGCCTTTGACTTTTTTAGAATATGACATTTGCAAGTTTATACTTCCAGAGTCTGTTTTTCTACTGTATTCGTTTATCATTTGCTCTTAATTTGGGGGGTTCCATTAAAAAGTGCATTTAACGTTTTAATTTGCCACTTGCGACATTTAATCGATGTTTTAATGGAATACACAACTGTTGACACAGAAGTCAGTGTCCTCCTGTTGTCTGTGGAGGATTTGAGGATTCTCTGTTTGACATTTAAGCCTTTTATTTAGTTAAAATTGCTTTCAAATGAATGAACTGTATGTTTATGAATGTTGTGATTATTATCTATTAGTCTTTTGAACTTCATACACAGCTGCTGTTGGACTTTTACCTTTACTTCCCGCTGCAGTTCGTGGATTTCAGCTGCATCTTATGAATTTTGAACGTTCCTTAACGGACTCCATGTTTGCTGGTTCACTCTTTCCTTTCCTGTGTGTCCATGAGACAAAGCGGCAAAACTACTCACAACACCGGATTTCTCGGCCCAGTCATATGAATAACAGCATTAGAAAAGCAAACTGTGGAACCGTCGATGCGGGGAACATGGATGTAGGCCTATTATCAGACATATTAGGTTGAAATAATACAACCACGGTGGGGAACACCTGGGGAAGAGGGAAGAAACCGGAAGAAACCGAGCAGAGGGGAGCTCTGCACTGTTATACACTGCCCCCTTGCGGTGATTGGAAAGAGTCAGCACCATTTCGGATTTAAATACGGACGGCTAAAACATGATGGCGTCAAGTCAGGCAGAGGAAACAATAATACACACAACACACACCAGCGAAGGCAACGATCATTAGCCAATCAGAGGCCGTGTAGGGCGGGTCATGTCAACTCTAGTAGGATTCCCAAGTTTACTTCCGGCTGCTGTAACATTGATAGCTAATCGAAGGATAAAGTCACAATGGAGGAGAAACATTGCTGATTTTTTTTGGCAAACCACCAGCTAAAGAGAGCATAGACAGCGTCCAGTCTTCCCAGGAGAGCAGCTCTTCCAGCACTACGTAGTTTTAGTTTGGTCGTAATTTTCCTCGGAGAGATGGAGACACCCGCCGGACTATCAGCGAGGAGCCTGCTGCTAACAGGTGTCAAGCTAGGACTGACTTGGCGGCATTTGAGGAGCCTTTCCAGCCACCCAACTTCAATTTCCCGGCCAGACGTTTCGATAAAGAAACTTTCAGCCGTGCATTTACACTAAGTTGGTTTGCTAAATATAAGTGACCTCATTACGTGGCGGAGTGTGGTCGGGTTGTGTGTTTTTCCTGCGTGAAAAGGCAGCAGAGGGAAACCGCTTGATTTGGTGCCTCTTCACCTTCCCGAGGAGTTGGACCCAGGCCTATGTCACCAGAGAGTCTCGTGTCACAGTTCAAGATGAAGCAACATGTCTATCCGAGCTCCATCCACAAAGATGAGCTCTGTTTACAATAGTACATAGTTAAGTCTGTGCCTGCTCATCTCTGTGGCCTCATCCGAGCGGGCCTTCTCCACCTTGTATCGCGTGAAAACATGGCTGCGGCACCACTATGACCCAGAAGAGACAAACTCACCTCTCCATGATGCATGTCCACATTGACATTTAGAACTCATTGGACATCCATGCCCTTTTTGGATTATTATAACTCCTGGATCACCTGGCCTGCAGCTTAAGGTAAGATATTTGGTTTATTTTAAGCTGCCGCCGAGCAGTGTAATATTCAGTTGTCAATTACATTGAACACGCCGCTGATGGTGATGATGAAAAAGTGAGTATTTGGATATGTTCTTATGTGCCATGCGCTATGGGCTTTTGGACATGTGTATTGCAATGTTATGGCATTATTGTGAGCTATTATTGTGCAATATCATTTTACTGAGTGAGTTTTATAGACCTGGCTGCTGCTGGTGTTACTGCTGCTGCTTTCTTGGTCCTTGTGGCAGTAGGATTGTTGTAGGGCCTATGTTGTATTTGTATGGGTTATATCGTATGGGTTGGGGTAAAATGCTCCTCCCACTACAACACCCCATCTTCTCTCAGCCCTGCCTCCAAGCACCATCTGTTCAACAAAGGGTCTTTCCCAAGTTCCCCTGGTGTGAACACCTTATCTGACACAGGCCTTGCACTGGTTCTCTGTGGTCCCAAAATCCTGAGTATCACAGGTCTTGCTGTGGTAACTGTAGCAGTTGTAAGCCCTGCAGTGCTGGTTTTCAGCCCACTTTGTATATTGTCATTTCTTTTTTCTAGGTTAGTGGGATTGATCAGCAGCTCAGTTAGGGAAAGGGGAAACAGGTGTGTGTCATTAGGTCCTATTAGTAGTAGTGAGGGACAGAGCAGGTGGCAGCTTTCTGTGAGGCTGCAGATTTTTACTTCTTAGTTTAAACATAATTTTCTTTTGTTTCTGTTTGGTAATATTTTTTGTTAATAAAATCAAATTTTTTTGAACACATGCTCTTCCCCTCCTTCCTTTGGAACATCCCTTTTAAAGTTTCCAGTGCCCAAACACCATCAACTGTCCTTTTTTGTGGGTGTTGGCACTACAACTACAGCTGCGCTCTCACACTGTTCTGTCAACATGGAATTCAGACCTGAAGGATGGAGCTAAGAGTCGCAGCTGTATAACTCCTAATCCTCTTTCATTAACACTAAACAGAAAGCTCTGCACCAACCACCATGCCTTTTATGAAGCACGACTTCGCCAGGCTATGATTTGTATCAGACAATATCAGCGGGTTTCTGGCAATGTTTAAAAGATCTTTGACTTATTCATCGTATTTGAAACTTTCAGCAGAGGGAGAGAGGAAAGCTTTGAGCCTGGCAGGTGTCAGAGAAACAAAAAAACTAAACAGAGTTATTTAATTTGTAGTCTTGAATTAATAACTGATTGATTGAATTAGTTGAGCGTGCAGTTTGCGGAACATAAAATGTGATCGCTTTTGTTTTAATGTTAACATATGCTTAAGGGATCTCAAAGACAACATAATTATATTAGTTTACAAGCAAAATCTGAAGTATATCCACATATCTCTGTCCAAAATCAAAACAAAACCACATTAAACTCAAGAAGCTCATTACTGTTCATGTCCTGACAGCTGTCACTGTTTATCTTCCATCAGGCCCCACGCTGATAGGCCTGTGTAAGGTATAGTTTTAGAACAGCATCTTTCCAGCTGTTTATAATTTATATAATTCAACGTCTCAGTTCATAGTAAATGATCCAAAATGCCCCAAAATGTAATGGGTTCTTCCCTGGATCATGACCCATCCTTCCACCGGTGAAAATCCTGCTGACAAACAAAGACACCGGTGTAAATATAACCTCTCTGGCGGAGGTAATGGACAGCTGGAGATTTTAAAGCCAAGGAATCATGGAATTGTCTTGTTGGATTGAATTTAATCTAAATTTTACCAGCTGAACTCACTCGTGATATTCTTTCTACGATGGAAATCTATTGTTCAGAAAGTTCGTCCCAACCCTTTTTGCAGAAGTTCCTACAAATGTGTTGAACTTGAAGGTTGAAGGTTTAGTTGTTTAGTTGTTGTGACGGTGAAGTCATGT